CCCCCTGCACCCACCCCCTCACCCTCAAACACGTCCTCATCGCGGTTGATGCTCATGTTGAGGGCGATGGACCCCTCCCCAGGCGCAATCTTGACGCCCCCCACCTCAGCCTCCTGGATGGCCACCCTGGTCGCAGGCAGGGAGGGCAGCGAGGAGGTGGGGTGTATATTGAGCAGCGATGGGTACGAGGGAGGCAAGAAGGGATGCCCGTTGTGTTCTTCAAGACAGGCGCAGCATGGCCGTTGCCCCGGAATTTGCGGCTGCGTCGGCCAAATCCAGCAACGTGTACTGCCCTGCTGACGCCATGTGCGTGGGCGCCGACGGCGCACAAGAGCGCGTGCAAGCGCCGCCCCTGTGCACACGCGCGGTCTCGCCCTGCGTGCATGCAGGGGCCTGCTGCTGCCGCGACACCTTGTCCATCCGCGGCAGCGGGTCAAGCCCGGAAATTGCAAGGTACACAACTATACACACAACCAGTCAGTATTATGCCAATTCAGGGACCCTCCGCAAATCAGGAATATTGAAACTAGGTACCATGTAACACATCACAAATCGAGCAGTGAGCGTGAACCAAGCCCCTTCTCACCTGCGCAGGGCCAGGCCTGAGGCGGTGTGGTAGCGGCAGATCTCCTCAACAGCACCGGGCATCAGGCCGTCGATGTCAGACCTGCGGCACGCAGGAGAGCCGGCGGCGTCTCTGGAACCATACGAGGGCAATCGGATGTGCCTGGTGGACGCCCATGCCCTGTCGAAACAGTTAAACGGCGCTTCTCTGCTGCAAGCTTGAGGCCCCAGTGCCGTTACTTTTGCCGACGCTGGCACACCAACAGCCTAAGCCACACCATCCATTCAACCCCACCAAGGCAGCGGGTGCGTGATGACATCACCTTGCGTCACCCGGCCACCCGTCACCTGAGCGCCTCCATTTGGTCGGGGTGAGTCATCAGCTCGTACAGCCCCAGGTTGATCATCGACGCCACGGTGGCGTTGCCGGCCACCTGGAGAGGTTTTTTTGTGGGGGGGGGGGAG